GTGTGTGTGTGTGTGTGTGTGTGTGTGTGTGTGTGTGTGGTGTGTGTGGTGTGTGTGTGTGTGTGTGTGTGTGTGTGTGTGTGTGTGTGTTGTGGTGGTGTGTGTGTGTGTGTGTGTGTGTGTGTGTGTGTGTGTGTGTGTGTGTGTGAGAGAGAGATAGAGAGACTATAACTGCACTCATGTTTATGTTTATGTGAGAGAGACTATAACTACAGCGATATGTATATGTCAGAGAGACTCTAACTACAGCCATGTTGTGCGTGTGTTTTCTATTCTTGCCGCTCGCGTCACAGCGATCGCCGGCGAGAAGCTGTTCCACATCGACCGCGCGCAGGAGTCGCGTCACTACGTCACGGACATCGCCAGCGAAGACCTCTACATTCTCGACCCGACCGACATGTCGCGACATTCCACCGCATCGCCCGTCTGCGGCGCCACCGGCTCGCCGAAAGAGGCGCTGCTGCGGCACAAGGACGAGGAGGCGGGCCTGAAGGGCACGCGTGGCGCCACCGCTGCCGCGGCGGCGGCGACGTCGCCGCCGAAGTCGCCGAGCTGTACGCGTCTGAAGCGACTCGTGCGACAGCAGAGTAACGAGGAGTCCGGCAGTGGGTCGGAGACGTGCGGCAAGCCCGTGCGTCAGCTGGCGCCCATCAACAAAAGTAAGTAGTGCCATGATTGCGTGACGGCGGGGGTGGGGGTGGGGGTGGGGTGTTACAGGTTATTATTGTTTGTGTTGGCGGGGGGTGGGGGTGGGGTGGGGTGGGTGTTACAGGTTATTATTGTTTGTGTTGGTCGGTGGGGGTGTTGTTATTCCTATTGTTGTTCTTATTGTTCTTGTTGTCACTGTTGTTGTCGTTGTTCTCTTTGTTGTTGTTGTCACTGTTGTTGTTGTTGTTGTTGATTGTGGTGGTGGTGGTGGTGTTGTTGTTATTGTTGTTGGTCCTATTATTGTTGTTATTGTTACTGCCATTGTTGTCGTTGTCGGTGTCGTTTTAATCATCGTCATTTTGATTGTTATCGTTCTTGTTCTTGTTATTGTTCTTGTTTTTGTCGTTATGTATGATAGAGACACCCTCACCGCTATCTCAAAATTTCGGTAATGTACTGGCTAAAATGTCTAACATTTTATTTCAAATTTGATGCTTGCGTATGTGTACAGTATGCGCGACGTAGGCAATAGACTTAATACACGTTTAAGATCCTTTTAAAATATCAGGACCGCTTTTTACAATCGCTTCTTGGGTTTAGTTGAACATGCATGTTTTAACACGTAAACGAAATGGTTAACGAAACACAGCAGTATCCGCAGTTTTATCGCATTAGGATACCGTTCATATTGATTAGTTTGTCAGCGTGCACAAGAGTGAAACGAAGTAATCAATATCAGCATTCATCTGCCTTTTCCTTAATCAATGTTTTATGTATAAAATTTCTTCATCCATTAAATTTTTCTATAGGGTACGCTTTCATTGCGTGATTCATTATATATATATATATATATATATATATACATATATATATATACATATATATATGCGATGTATTCCCGTTGGTATATACAACATTTATCAGCACAGTACGTAACTTTTATGTGAAAAGTGTGAGTGGGGAATGAGTCACCGACGCTACAGCCCCCTGGGTGATATTTTTATGTCATGCATCTCTCATTTTCTTGCAACTTTGAATGCTAGCCGGATTTTACAAGGGATTCAATAGGGATTTCAATAGGGATGCGCTTCACCACCCCACCCCATTCCCCCACCCCTTAGCCCGAGTACTACCCTGCTGATAGATGGAGGATATATGCTGGCAATCAGTAACAATATACTGCTAGTGGTGCCGCAGTGACGTTTGCCCGTACTCCGCCCTATATGTAAAGGCTACATCATCATTCATCAATCCCCACGAGCGATTCCTTCCTCGAAGCTGCCATCCCGTCGGGGATACAGGGAGAACGGTCTTCCCGGTGACATGTGATGACCCCCATTGCCCTCATTGACCCCATCATTAACCCTCCAATGACCCCCATTGACCCTCATTGACCTGTCATGACGACATTCACCTTCGTTGATTTGACGACGTCCCAGGGCGATGGATCGTGTAAGATGTAATGTCAGATGACTCATGATGACCTCTCAATGACCCCTAATTATCCCCTAATGGCCCATGATGACTTGCGATAACCCAATTCCTCCCATACCCCCACACGATGAACCCCCTAACACACACGCCCACACACACACACATGCGCTCACACGCGCGCGCGTGCACACACACACACACACGCCCACACACACGCGCGCGCGCACGCGCGCGCACACACATACAAACACAAAAACAAACCAACAATGCCCCCACACATGTTTGTGTGTGTGCGTGTTTGGGGGATGGTGTCATTGTTCATTTGGGGGCGTCATTGTTTGTGTTTGTGTGTGTGGGGGCGTCATTGTTTGTGTTTGTGTGTGTGGGGGCGTCATTGTTTGTGTTTGTGTGTGTGGGGGCGTCATTGTTTACGTACAAACACAACCAATGACGACCCCCCACATACAGATAAACAATGACGCCCCCGCACACAAACACAAACAATAGCGCACCCACACACGCAAATAAACAATGACCCCACACACACAAATAAACACAGTGACGCCCCCACACACACAAACACAAACAATGACGCCCCCACACACACAAACACAAACAATGACGCCCCCACACACACAAACACAAACAATGAC